TCTGGAATAATCAACCGTAAATTTGAAATTCTATCGTTCCGTCTGCTGTGTACAAACATAAAAACTAGAATATACAAAACTATAATTTTGCCTGTGGTTCTGCATGGGTGTGAAACTTGGTCCCTGAAATTAAGGGAGGAACATAGTCTAAAGCTGTTTGAGATCAGGGCGCTGAGGACAATATTTGCAGCGAAGAGGGATGAAGTGACAGGAGGTTGGAGAAAACTGCATAATGAGGAGCTTCATAACTTGTACTCTTCTCCCAAATATAATTATAATGAACGAGCCAAGGAAAAGGAGATGGGCAGGGCATGTAGCACGAATGATAGCGAAGTCTAATTCATATTGGATATTGGTGGGAAAGCCGGAAGGAAGGAGACCACTGGGAAGACCAAGACGTAGGTGGGTGGACAATAGTAAAACGTATCTTAGAGGGGTAGAATGGGGTGATATGGACTGGATTGATCTGGCTCAGAATAGGGACCATCTGAGGGCTCTTGTGAACACGGGAATGAACCTTCGGGTTCCATAAAATGCTGGTAGGTTCACGACTAGCTGTATAACTGGCTGCTTCTCAAGAAGGGCTCAGATCTATGGGGGAAGATGATGATGGCTCCGTAGATTTGCTAAAATTTTCCGTATCTAAACAAATGATTTATACTTATTAATAGATTCCTAAAAGTTGGTGTGTCTTCTGTAAAACAAATACATCTTTCTCACGCTCAGTATTGTGTCTGTGATATGTTTGAAATTATTTGCGTGCTGCCTAATGTTTTGCGAATTTCCTCAATTAAAACTTCATAAATCCATGGAGGAATTTCATGATTGCTCTTAGCTTAGTGTAGAAATAATGAAGACATTTATAGCTGCAACATTTTACAGCTCAAAGCTAGAAAACTGAGGGTGTTTGAGAACAGGGTGTTGAGGAGAATATTTGGACCGAAGAGAGATGAAGTGACACGAGGTTGGAGAAAACTACATAATAAGGAGCTTCATAACTTGTACTCTTCTCCAAGTATAATTAGAATGATCAAGTCAAGGAGGATGAGGTGGGCAGGGGATGGAGCACGAATGGGTTAGACCTGGAATGCGTACAGGATATTGGTGGGAAAGCCAGAAAAACGAGACCACAGGGGAGACCAAGGCGTAGGTGGGTGGACAATAGTAGAATGGATCTTAGAGAAATAGGACGAGATGGTATGGATTGGATTGATCTGGCTCAGGATAGGGACCAGTGGAGGGCTCTTGTGAACACTGTAATGAACTTTCGGGTCCCATAAAATGCTGGGAAATTCTTGAGTAGCTGCTGAATTTGCGGCTCCTCCAGAAGGGCTCAGCTCCATGAGTAAGACTAGAAATATGCAAGCCTCACATTTCATCCGGCTTATTCGAATGGAAAACATTTATGGTATCCATTGTAAGGATAGTGGAAATTCACGTGTCTGTTGGGAGTGTAAAAAGAAAATCCGAGAGCCTCTACTGGCCCTTTAATACGGAACATTTCGAAGCACCAAATGATTTAATGTGGTCTCCTGTACATGTTATTTCATGTGAAGTTTCACTAGATCTACAGAATGCAGACACATGACAGAATAGGAATTATTGTAACCGCTTAGAAATAAGCTTAACTTCTAGGAGAGATTTGTGGGTTTATGGATCGTAAGAGCAATTGATGACTTTGTACCAACTGCAGAGGATATTTAGCGTCGAGTGTAGTATCAGAAGATTGCGTTTTAATCCGGAAGCATCGCTCGTTAACTTATATGGAGGTGTTACCCCATGATTCACGTGGAAAGTGGGTGAAAATCCATAAAAGTTATTAGAGAGAGAAGTCCATACCTCGGCCGAGATTTGAACCAAGCACCTCGGGAATATAACTGAGGGAGTTACAACGTAATTCAACTTGCTTGACACGCGGTATCTGGGTATTGCAATGTATCGTTAGGGACACTACATTGATCAGAAATTATGAGAATTATATTTTTAAATTAATTTATGAACACTGCAACCTTATAATTTTATGAAGTAGGGATTTCACGTTGTACAAATTAATTTTATGTTCTTCTTGAGAACTCATATTACATACACAGGAATTACTTCTCTGTTGAGATAAGTGGAATATAGCTTCATAAATTAACAAAACTTACCGCTATTTTATTATTCACATACTAATGATGTCTCAGTGAGGGAACAAAGGAACGTGAATTAATTCAGTGCAATACATATACATTCATTTTGAAAAATATTTTATTATTAGGTGAACGGAAAGGAAACTACCTTTCCTCTCATTGCGAAATTAATACGTCGATTTAAAGTTTCAGAATAAATTTTTACACTAATGAAATTCTATATGTCGTTGTCGCATATCCAGTTGAAAATTAATTTGAATTTGGATTAAGAGATTTTGGGGCACAATTTCACACATCCATGTATTATCGCTGTATATATAGAATAACCGCCAGTCACAAAAACGCTCGTCTACACTCAGCACTCTTGTTCTCGAACTCTCAGGTAATTATCAGCTAGAATTTTTTAAAATAAAAGACTAAAAAATATGCCATACGCGTTCTTTTGGTTTCATGTGTCTAAACGTCCTTTTTTTTATTAGATTGGATCGTTGCTTTTCTGCATAGTCTTACAACTTCTTGTATGTTCAGAAAGTGCGATGAATTCTTCATCTTCTAGTGAACAAGAGTAACGTCATTCAAGATTTCAGGTTAATAAATCTGAGGTAAACATTTTTTCTCTGTATCCGCTTTTAAATATTTGTGGCACCAATCAATATCCTGAAACAAAAATCGTTAAGTGTTTATGTTTTTAGACTAATGCTGATATGTGTCAACAGTCAAGCCTATCAATAGAAGTATTATAGGTGTTCAGTGTTGATGGGTTTAATGTTTTTAATTCTTATTTAATTATTATCTAATTTAAACTTATAAGAGAGAGAGGAAATTGTGTGAAGAATATTTTCAGAGTTTTAATTGTGATAGAAATATTAGAAGTAGCAGCTTAACAGATTTATGTATTTAAGAAATGAATTAGTGCAGATTTATAAGCCATTGCCTTTTGCTGAGTGCTGAGAGTATCAAGCATGTTAGAACTAAAATAATCAGACACTGATTACGTGTCTCAGTAGAGATTCTAGAAGAGGTAAATAATAAAGTCACATAAATTATGTAGAATTAACAAAGAATTACCTTGCACTCGAGAATAGAACGCAAGAAAATGACCGCAAATAGTGGAAATTACCTCAGTAAGTAACGTTAATTAAATAAGTTAATCCCAGTAACTGACTTCAACAATATTCTTATTAGCATTTAACCTAGCCTTGAAGGCAATAGCAGATTAAAGGCAGTAAAGGAACCATTTAGAATTAAAATCTCTACTGGACTGTAGAACATGCTTAAAAATTCTGGTGACGTTGATTTTGAACACTTAGTCTAATTTTTATGGCAACATCACATAAACGCCGGTAAAATGTAAAAACTCAGTAAGAAGTAAAATCTATACTCAGAGTTCGAAAGCCTGTTTGCAAATTATGGAGCCATAACAACTATCTTTCAGAAACTCTTAATTAACTACATATATCCTCTACAAAAGTTTGCTTCAAACGAGCAAACTACCGTTTTTGTAGCGCCAAAGATTTGGAAATTTGGAAGGGTCTGCATAATTCGTATCTCAAGCCTTCAAAATCGTTGCCGAAGTCTATACTCACACCAATCCGCCACGTCACCAAGAGCACACTACATATAGTGATATTATCAGATTTGCATATTCTGTGTAGACATACGCAGTGCCTGATGCTTAATGACTATTTTTCACTTATTACTTCTCATTATTTTATAGGATCAGTCATTCAATAAATAATATTCATTAAAATGCTTATACTCGTAATATAATAAGTTCTAGAAATGAATGTATTAATACAACATTATTTTACTTCAATTTAAAATATATACAATCCTCCGACCGCTCAAGTGACTAGCGTCAAGTAATACGCCTTGTAATACACATGACGGGTTTGGTATCAGTGTATGTGTAGATAAGCCTCAGTCATATATAAATACATGGATCCCTGTAATGGAAATTATTATTAAAAAAAAGTCAGTATAACACAGTACCTTATTTCACACAGTACCATAACATGGGAGTTCAGTCTTTCACTTCATTTATTTAATAGCAGTACTGTTTCAAATTCTGGCAGGAAGACAATGTTGTCGTGGGATTTCTTGTCGCGTTCACCCAACAGCTTACCATATGTACAAACGTTAGATACAAATTATCACCGTTCTTGAAGATTGTTGTGTAGCCACTGGATATGTTCCATTATCTTGAAACGGAAGGAGAAGCTAGGAAGACGAACTTTGGCATTACGGTGACATATTCGATAATATCGATACATGAGTCTTAGATCGATCATTATTAGATTTGCCATATTTGTATCTTAAAACTCCAGCCAATCCAGATATAGGAAAAAAACAGCACATTACTTCAAAATGCATATCTGCTCGCAATTCATTATGTACATTAATGATATTTAAAGGATCATGAGAAATCAGTTAATAACTTCACGTATTAGTGTCATCATAAATATGAATCCAATATTTGTAATAGCATGTTCAGAGAATATTTGAAAATTGTATGAGCTACTATATGAAGAGCGAATTTTTCTGTCCATGTTCCTGCAGCATAAAATGACTATGTATATTTGGGGTAGACTGTCACTTTGCACACTGTGAGAAAACTATAGGGCTACCTAATTTTCACACAAACTCTTTTATTTGTGTTACGAACCGGTCACTTCAATATTCTTCCATGTTGATAACCTACAAAGCATTATGTAAATATCTCAAGTGAAATTTAATTTCACACCCTTGTGTACTAAGTCATTTATTTAGGTTTCAAATGTCGTTAAAGTTTCTTCTTGTCCATTGCCACTGAATCTTTCGCACGTAAGAAGTTATCTCGTTGTTCAGACACGAAGTCTGCTTATGTTACACTCGCCATTTTGTCTCACAGTTGAGTACAATATTCACAGACACGTATGAACTATCTGTTTTGTCCGACAGAGGCTGCACTTCACTTCGCAGCACCAGTGGAACGTACATGCGCACCGTTGGATTACAGACACCTCTTGAGTCCTGTATCCTCGGCCGCAACACATGAGGTCGCAACCTTCCACCCCTATAGACGTGTCGTTGCACTGACGACCGTGGGTACCCGGTATCCCGAGACGCGGGTTACGCTCGCAGAAACCTGGCGACGGTTCGTAGTAAACCAAATCCTTAGTGCCCGGTGGTTTGTGTTCTGGGTTATAAGGTTTCAGCTGGAATGCGTAGCGATTTCTTTTGCCTCCAGAGCCCCCTCCTCCTTGGCCTCGCAAACTGCCCGCGTTGCTCACCATTACTCTAGATGCGCCGTCGAAGCGGTCCTTAAGATTGTCGCCAACGACTCGGAAGTTGGGCAGCCGCATCCAGCAAGTCTTCACTGCGCATGATCCGGACATTCCATGGCACTTGCATTCTTGTCGCATTTCGGAGGAAACGTGCTGTAACAAACAAACATAGCAACAGACGTCACTGACTTGTATTATTGTTTGTAGTAGTAGTAGTATTTATCTTTTTATTGCTATTGTGGCTTATAGACCAGTACACGACAGTAGAAGAGGTGATGCAGGCGGTGTTCTCTGCCGGTCCGCTCCGAGGTTATATGACTAGACCGACCGTAGTCTGTTCAACAAGTGTGTGCAGTGCAGCTGAGGATTCAGCTGTGGAGTGTTAGCTAGCAGGCAACGGAAGCTGAAGATTCTATATTGCTAAGACTCGTTGCCAGAAAACACTGCAGAAGAATAGCCATTGTGCAGAACTAAAGACTGATGAAAGTACACTAAGAAGACTTGAGTGGGGAGTGATTCATAGTGTGGAAAACAGCAATATTGTAGTTATTATTTGTAGTTACGACCTGTAAGCGGTCAATAAATCTATTCACCAATCCAAACCCCGTCTATAGCCACTATTATACGTGATATTATTATATTTCATTTCAGCTTAAAAAAACAGTGTGCAACGATTAGTAAAGCAACATATTCATTCTCAGAAGCAATATTCTGGTCTGGTGGGAACAAGTCACACTAGTGGAGATTCAAGACCCGCGCTGTTCATCAAGTTAAGGTTCATCGGATCAAGGAAGGTGAGGTGGGCGGTTCCTATAGCGGGCATTCGAGATATGAGAAATGCATACTCAGTTTTGTTGGAATAGCCTGAAGGAAATAGACTACTTGGGAAATATTGACTTAGATGCAGGACTGAACGCATATTAAAATAAACTTCAAAGAAAGGGCTTGGAATGTTACGGACTGGATTCATCTAGCTCAGGGCAGGAATTATTGGCTGGCTTTCATGAACAACCTATCGAATCTCTGGCCTTGATAAAATGTTATTCGATTTACTTTTACCGAAATATACTACATATATAATATATATGATGAAAATAATATAACGTTGTAGGGCCGTGGTGCAGGGGGGCGTGGAGGTATCCCACCTCTACCACCACTTGTAACGCCGTGGTGCAGGGGGGCGTGCAGGTACCCCTCCTTGCTACCACAGCTTACGCTGTAAGGAGTTAACACCATAATCCTAGCTTACTCTCAGCTAGGATTCTCCCGTTTCTGGGCTTCCTTCCTTACTTAAAGCTACCACCACCTATTATATGTCCTAAGAGAGGTGATGTAAGTACCAAGGACCGGTAGCGCGGTAGTCGAGCGTTCACTGTTTGCTGGCTCTTTCATCCTCGTCACCTCTTATTATTGGCGTAGAGCGGGCGTGCCGGGTCTGACCCGCCTCTACTTATCGTCTGTCATCTCTATGGTGGGAACTACCCCCTGACATCTTGTCATAGCTCCCTCCTGACATATCTTCATATAGTCTGCAGGTAGCAACGTATTACATTATTATGATTATTATTATTACATCTTAAAGGGGCGTTGATACCAAGGCTACTAAACGCTGCCTGCGTGGCAGGTGCCTATCCCTGTCCCTTCCTAGTACCTCCCCTTAAGCATTCGGCTGCTGCTGCCTTTCGTTTTGGTAGGATCCTCGGGATCGGTCGTGGAAAGGTGATTATGGAGGTGTGAATCACAATTCCCTGTGTACATCCTACTCTATGTACACTGGTCTATTTACATTGATATTTACCGTATTTACAATATTTACATTATTAACAAGGCCGACTTTCAGTCGGGACTACATAGTGGATTTACTTGAAGCTACGCTAGGAACCTCCCCTTCGGGGGTGTAAAACTGGAGTCTCTCTCTCTCTCTCTCTCTCTCTCTCTCTCTACTTCGACTCCTGACTATAGGCAAGTATTAATCGAGCAATGCGATCCTGTTTCCCTACTATTCATAATACACTACTAGTAATCCTAACACATACACCATACACAGACATATTGCCGGACTATCTTCCTAGGCAATCACTCGTTACATAATTATTACTCTCCCCTAAGGGCTCGCCGAGCACACTGGAGTTTGCTATCGATATTTTCCACACTCTTTTATCCACAATATTATTTAACAACATGGCTTATATGAGTAAACGTGACTTACTTGGAATAAAAAGATGCAGGCCCACTGCCTCCGCTCGTAAGGCCCATATTGAAGAGAGCCTCCGGCTGACAACTCAATATTATGTTTTTGGATCAGATCACAAGTCTCCTAAATTCAGTAATTTATATCTTTTAACTTGCTGAATTGGCTGTGGACGAAAGAGGGAAGTTAACTCCCCTTGTTGTCCTCAATTTCCAAAGTTATATTCTAATTGGCTATTCCGTGTGGTTGTGGGTGGGCCCGTGGTCCTGTCTGCTGCTTATGCGGTAATATTACGATACTCCAGTGGCCCGTTAACAGAGCTTCTTACTTATGTGATTACGCATAAATGCTGATCATTTACATTCTTAACCTAGTTGCCTGTCCAGGTGTTGACATACTAATGTAATGGCTGTAAAACACTTTTCGCAAGTCTCGAAAATTTAAGGCAATGCCTTAAATTTCCAATCTCAAAATTGGTCCGCAACAAACATGTATGCCCATTGCTAGGCAACGACTCAGTAAACACATTCCTGCACAAGCTAACGGGTGCAAGAATAGGAAGTCTATTGTTAGAAAACTGATTAGTAAATAACAATAGACACTGTGTTTTCAGTCGAGTCCGTGAAAAATTGTTAGAAGGAAATATTCTGGTAGAAGATAGAATAGAACAGAGTCGAAAGTGCGCAGAGTCGATTTCGAGACGCCAACCTGCAGGAATATGAGCTTGGAACTGAATTGAGTCGAGTCTTCGGAGTTGGAAGCTGCAGAATAATCGCAAGATAGGAATTAGACTGCGAAGAGAAGATTCCATGTGTGATTTGAGATGACAGTGAGACTGTTATGAATCCGTTGCCTGGATAAGACAGAGAATCGTAGTGTGTGTGCAACAGTGAACTGTGAATTGTGTAGATCAGCGATAGCGCTGTATTGTCTGTAGTTCGAGGTTACTGAATAAGATGTCGATAAAACGAATCGTCCAGTCCAGAACCCGTCTTGTAAGTCACGCATACACCCCTAAATTGTGACAGTAGCACATTATCCTACCAACTACATTTGTGTTAACATAAGAAAGTAATTAAAACATGAGCGATATAGACTTCTCCTCGTCCTAACTCACATCATAACTTCTCTATAGTTCTCTTACGTAGAACGTATACAAACTTGCATTTATACCTTGTTTTTCTTCGTATTAGACTGTGTTTAAAATAAACAGCAAATACTTGATAGAACTAGGTCTATTTGTTCAGTTAAAAAGAACTTCAGGAAATCTAGTAAAATAAAAATAACTGACAGATACTATCATCCGATTATAAACATATTCAACTAGTCCTTGAGGAGCAAATAACCAGTCAGCTTGTGTAGAATCTCCCCGAATTTTACGGAACTCTGAATTATATTCCTGCATTCGAAAGAATGCCAGATTTGTCCCTTTCTCGGTATATATAAATACCGTCCATACATTCACAACTTCATCTTCAGGATCCATTTTATTTTTGTCGTCATATCTGCTCCTAGATCTCCAAGCTAGTGCAGTCTCTTTAACTACTTTGGCTAAAATGATTTTATTTCTTCATACACTTGCAGCCTCTTTTTCATTGATTTTGTCTCATTATGAAGCTAGCGGTCGTAATTATCTCAATTTACCTGTTACTTTCCCTTAAGCTCTCGTGTTCTCCTCAGCATCCTGTTTCTCAAACACCTTCGATATATTTTATTTCCAAAGGAGACTCAGAGTTTGACTGCCATGCAAAACAAAACGTAAAATAATTATTTCCTACATGTTACTCTCCAGATTTTAGATAGCGAATCTTAGTACCATAAGACAGAGAAGCACAGCTGTACAAATAATATGCAACAATGTTCTCGTTAATTAATCTAGCAGAGTAGTAATGATACAAAATCCTTAGGGAATCTAATTTGGTATTTATAACATCTGCTTCAAAAAGACTGCTGTCTTCTGAGATGTGACACCATGTGAACTGGTATATAGGTATTATCACGTAATAGGGGTTTGCGTGGCTAATAATAACAACGGGTTTTGAAATGAATGATTGGGTTTATTAGCACTTTTACTACAGATACAATAAGTTATAGCAGCTCACAATCCATGGCTGCCTAAGACTTGCTCCATTCCTTACCGGACTGCGAGTGTCCTCTTCTGCTGTGAGTGACTTGGTTCTGATTTAAGAATCGGTCACTTCTTCCGCTTCCGCTGTCCGCTGGTTGGCACTCCACAGCTGAAACTCTTACGACTGCCTTACGAATGTGTAGTTCTCAAAGTCAAAGTCATATTGCTACTGACGGTCAGTCAGTCAGTCAGTAAGTCTTGGTGTCGAGCTACATATGGGCTCATGACCAGATATTTATTAGTGTTTGACAGTTACGGTCTTGTTCTTGTGGGACTCCCTCTCTGACGAGGTGACGGCTCCTGATATAGTCTAGCGCGTATTCATGGAAATTGTTGGCTGCTTGTTCGTATCTGTGGAAACCTTCGTTGAATCTTCCTTGACATGGAAAATACTTACCGTACCGTTGGTTAGCAATTGTCATATTCGTGTATATTCTTTGCGTTGGGAACGCGTATGTGGCGCGTCGTTGTCTAGCAATGAACTTCCGCCCTGGCTCCACTACTCCGGCTTTCAGGCATCATGTCATAGTATTAACATTTGGTTGTAAATATACGGAGAAGGATGTGGATAGCGGGTGTGTAACCATATTGAGAAATATTCAGCATAGGTTGCATTCCCTCTCAACTGATAGTGTCGACAGGCTGCCTCTCAACAGAGCTCTAGCTGTTACTGACACTGAGTAAAGGGCGTTTCCATGCGTAAAATAGGATAAGAAACATAAGTCAAGTAAAGCTATCCCTGTAACATGCCGTGAAGCTCCATAGGGTTCTGAGACGTTGAGGCTCCAACACTATGTAAACAATCGGCTCAAAGATGGCGGTAAGGTTGTCAGC